CACTAAAGAGAGTAAAGGTGAACACGCTCAAACCAGGAGAATGCAAACATACCAGTGATGATGGTGAATTTAGTAGTTTCTATCTTCCACAGGGAAAGACAGCGTTCAAATTTCTACAGCGATTCACGGTTGGCAGAAACGGTGAGGAAGTAGTGGAACTACAACATCCTATCCTCCGAAAATGTTTTGTGATTCCATGCATTGCTGGTTTTACATGTACAACTTTACTCCAAAATGAGTCGGACAAAGTCGATTGGGGCCAAGTATACTATGCACTTGTTCTTCGTGTACGATCGGATATTGTACTTACGAAACAACGTGTTCAGAATGCTCTCGTACTCCAGAAAGTGCGCGTGACAGCCTCCAAGTTCGTCCCCAACCTCGATTACTTCTCACCTAGTCGTGGATTTTTGACAGAACCTCAACTTAGTATGGTCTCAGGACCGCTCACTGAATTCTTCCTTCAGAAAATTCAGGCACAAGTACAGGAGAAAGGTAAGAACATGACACCGACCATACGCTTCGGATGTGCACTCCTTTGCAAAGCGTTTACTATCCATGCAGACAATACTGAACTGTTTGAAGAAGTCTTGGTTCATTTTCGAGACAAGGATGTTCCATTTGCTCTGACTGTCGAATTGAAATCGTTTCCGTTTCAACTCCTCGAAGGCACTATGGACACAAAAAGCAAATATGCCTTTGCACACAATTGTTCATTATTGACAGCATGTGGCATTTTGGAAGATGGATGCATTCGCCCATCCGCAGTGGATGAATCAGACACAGATTGGTTACCTGTCCCTGGATTCTACTGTCGAGGAGCCATGATCCAAGGAAACGATCCCAAGGCTGAAAAAGCAAGTATGATTGCAGCTATGGTAAAAGCAGCAAAATACAGCCATTGTCAAGATGGAAACAAACCTCTAAGCATTGTAGGAGTTGCCCATAGTCGACAACATCATCATATTACAGTTCACCAGGGCGGTGTCGTCGCAGAGCAGGCAGCAAGCTTCTTTTACGACGCGGTCCATGGTCAGGGAGACAAGCGATGGTGTTTCAAAAGTCATCTGTGTACACTGCAAAGTATTGCTACATACGTCGACGATCGCCATACAGTATAAGGGAACCCTGTTTCACCGTTCAGTTTCTCCACTCACTCACAGGCATCAAAAAACGTGTACCTGCACCCAACACTTTATCATGCATTTGGTTTTTCAGATTTTTTCTGTGCATTAACCAGGTATTCAAAAATGATAAGTTCTTCTTTTTCAACCTGCAGGATGTGGTCGAACGTATTGCTGTTCCTTTTGTATCGTTTTCTCCCTAGCATGCTTTCGTTCACAGCATACAAGTTCTTTGGCGATAGTACCTGTGCTCAAGTTTTTGTAGTGTCAGTTGATCGTCCGATCAGTCTTTGGTCCTTCTCCATTGATTCCTGATACCTTCATGTATTCTCCTCGTCAGTCTCGCTCTCGCCATCCTGCTCGACATTCTCGACACGACTCTAGAGACCGGTCAGTTCGTCAATCACGTGGTTCTCGTCATTTTCGAGATCGTTCTAGATCCAGATATGAGAAAAATAGATCTCCACGCAGGTCTACTATGTCACAGGGAGTGCATGAATTTCGACCGGCTCCGTTTGAAGTATGCAGCAAATGGAAAACATCAGAGAGTCACTATGACACCACCCAAGAATATGGATTGAGTTTTCCCAAGGTGGTAGAGGCAACCAAGTGGTCTAGGCAACAACAACTCGCTAACCGTCCAGTGGAAGACATTCGAGCTTATGAGGTTTGCAGTGGAGGTTCATCAAATTGGTCGTTGCGACTGATCTCCAACGGACGCTATGTGTCATTTGAAGCTTTCCGATCCAAAGTAGATGCTATTTTGTGGACATATGTTTCCAGAGAGATTTACAAACATCCTCATTTGGACCTCCACCAAATCATGGGTATCAAAGAGGATGGAGTACAACAAGATTGGGATGCGAAGTTGGATACCATCAAGAAGTTTGGCGATGAAATTGTCAAATTTGTGGAATCAAAAGCTCCAAAAGACCCCAACCAACAGATGCTTGAGCAGATGGAAAAGTTGAAGGAAGAAAATGCCCTTCTCAAACAACAGATGTCGCAGAGTACTTCAGGCAATCCACCCCCAGCACCATCAGCACCAGCCCGTCCCAACGCCAATGCCATGGGACCCATGGATGCATTTGTGAGACCTGGTAATGTAGACGCATCCAAAGCACCCCTGGACCAATATCGTCGGAAACCACCTCAACCAGCTCTTCTCAGTTCCAACAGTCCCAAAGACGGCCCCCCCGCCAAAATTCGCGACTGGATTCAGGGCAATTTGACCAACAGTGATCAAGAAAATCTACAGGCTTTGACACAGACTATCCAAGAGGAACTCACAGCAGCAGGACCAGATGAACAACCGGCGATTGACAAGATCCTAGTAGACTGGGGCCTCAGTACAGTTAAGGTCAACAAGATGAAAAATGAACAACAGATCAAGCTTTTGGCGGCGGTGCAATTCCTCAAACACTGACTACTGAGTAGAGTAACACCGGGCAGCAGTTTGACCAATAGAGCTCGGCAATTTCTTAGCACACTTGTATTAGCTACCATTCTGATTCAATTCATGTTATCAAACACTGAAATGTCATGGGAAATTCAGCGCCTTTTGTATTGGCTACGAGCCCAGTGGTGCGTGACAATTTTGATACATGAGTGCACTACACGATTTCGGAAAAGAATCGTTGCCATTTTGCGAGCACATCGAGTTCCTCACAATTTCACTCTTGAGTGGTTCATGCGCACATCCATTGTTTACTTGAAGGTTTCTTTGTTCCACCGATATTTTTACATTGGCTCGACACATTTGGATATGTTTCAACGTGAACAAAGTCGACTTCGAAAATACCGACAGTTGGAAAGACATCAACTGGCATATTATGAACCAGCTCTCAAGTTCTGGCATAAAACAAGCACTTTTTGGCACTATGTCGGCATACCCTTAAAGTACGTCAAAACAGACGTACTTGCAGTAGAAACAGCACTTCAAAAACAGTTGTGTCCAACACTCAATTGGCCACACATTTTACCATTATTGCGCAAATACAACCTCCAGCGCCAGCACTACACACTCCCTACGACAAAGACACATGTGACAATGGGACAGACAGTGATGAAACGTTGGAACAAAATGAACGGTTCCACTCGTACCACTGCAGTGACAATACAACGAACACACAATACGCTGGAGGATAAATATCGCATTTTATATGCTTTGGGCTCCGATACAATACAAAAATTCCATGTTTCTGCACACCTTCGACAATTTTCAATTTCAACACCATATATTTTTCTACTATGGCGACTGTCCCGATTTGTGAATGAACCATTTCGAACACGATGTCAAAGTCAGTTGAGATTGATATTGGAATTTCGGCATACTACGACTCCACCTGTCAATATTCCGCTGCGACTTCATATTCCAGATGATGCTATGTTTGAGAACATTCGAAAGTGGATGCTTGGTTTCACATCTTTCATCGTATCCATTTTCCACCTCTCCACAAACCACGGGCACCTATCATCCATATAAAGAACCAGACTTGGGGACAAGTACTTTTCAATTTTCGACGATTCCTGAAATGGTGGTATCCAGACAGAACACCGACTTGCACGTGCAATCGATTTCCAAGCCATATTCAACAAAAGAAAAAGAATACTCCACACATTGTCGCCTGGGCCTCAGAATGCTTTCCAGATATTCCAGAATTTCGTCACCACGCGGGCAGTGAAGTGGCACCTACATGGCGGATATTCCATTATCAAGCTACAGAACAATTCGAGAAATGGTTAC